GGAAATCAGTGCCAATCGGTCCAACTCTGCCAACAAAAGTCTCAATTGAGTTATTTTGACGTCACCTCTCTTTGGGTTATACAAGAGGTGAGTGTTGGCCACAAACAACTTTGATTTGCTTTTCAACCACTTTGGTCTCAACTCTACTATCAATCCGATGTGATCTCTGTCTAAAAGAGCTGACAAGTCTTTGCGTTTGAGCTCTAATTTAGTGGATTTCAAGAGCGAAAACATATTCTCCTTATAGGCGATGACACAGCCGTCCATTAAGTTTCCCGTTCTCTTTTCATAGACAAAATTATAGCCATATTTCTGGAGCTCCGGACCAATCAGCTCCCGGATGTGCTGTGAATGTACTTCTTGTAAACAGAGAATATCTGCGTTCGATTCAAGCAATTCGTTCACAATTAGGTGACCTCTTCGAGGCCATTCAATGTGTGTGGGCTCGCAGTGGTGGTACAGGTACTTGTGTTCATTCAATAGGTTTTGAGACAAAATATTATAAGACATTATCGAGAATTTAAATCCATTTGTTCTGCTATTCGAGTCATTAGTTTTGATAAACGGACGAAACTTTGACACTTTTCTCCGGATTTCATCTGAAATGAGATAAGTCTTCAAATTTAAATCAACACTTTTATGGTTTAGTAATGCATTGATTAGCTAAATATAGCTTATTTTCTATCGACTCATTAGTCAAACATTATTTCTATCAAAACACATGCAATACTAATTGAAAACAGAGAATATTCTGCTTATATTCTGGCCCTGCATTGCATTTACCGATAGTTAAAGTTTGTTTGCATTTCTCAGATCTAGGACTTGGATCGGAATAGTTGTGACAATTGGGGTCATGTGATGAGCCATAGGCTGTTTGGGCCGCGAATCCATAGTATGGCTGACGGGAGGGATACCCGTAGTAGGGATTAGTGGCCATTGAGTAGTACTGTTCACTATTATAGCCCATGTATCGTAAATGTGATGAGTGGGCCATTATTGGCGGCAAACCATGGGATCCGTTGTACTCTTGGTAACCAACTCTTCGGTTGACATGAGTGTTGTACGTAATATACTTCGTGTCACTCTTTTCTCTGCAATCGCTTCTGGAGTTCGTTGACGTCTTCGGCCCATTAGATCCACTCACCTGCGAGTCGTGGCTCACAGACTGACCACCGATGGTTCGCCTCGATGTATGACTATTGCGATCATTCATTGCAAGCAAATAACTGGTATTGAAATGTAGTGACAATTGTTTGTTTGTGTCGCGAGATATGAAACTGATTTGAGGACAATGTCTGCACAACTGATGACAACTTCTAACCCAAACACTAATGCGAAGATTTATGACTAATATTTTCATTACAAACCAAACAAACANCAACTTCTAACCCAAACACTAATGCGAAGATTTATGACTAATATTTTCATTACAAACCAAACAAACACTCAAATCAAGTCTAAAACACTAGTATTTGCAACAAAAGTGTTTTACTCTAATTATATACCCCTATAGTATACATATAACTAATAGTAACGCAAATCAGTTACTTTTAATTGCAATTTACAATCAATTTTCAAATTCACTGTAATTTACAGTTTGGCAATCATATGACTATGTCATATATTACGGCTTTGTTTTCACATATATTTTGCTCATATTTATCAATATATTAAATACAGTTAAATAATATTCTTACTAAACATGTAAAAACAAATTAAATCTAACCAGGATCTAATTATATTTATTACAATTTCGTTAAGTTTAATAAAAAATTTAAATAAACAAAACTATACTAAATTTGTGCAAACATGAAATCATACTTGATGTACATATATTATGGTGAGTAATACGTTTGTGGATTGAATGCAATTGAATGCAATATATTTGATGAACAAAACCTCGTGAATGAGTGTACGAACAGAAAAGACACATTCATTCAGTGATTCAGCTCTTATTGAGTGAGCATTTGGTTTGAAGTTTGAAACAAATTGTCATTAATTTAGTTGTTATTAACGTAAACGACAGACACGACGCATACCTGAGCCACGATGAGTGCAATCGGAACGGGAGTACGAGATAGTGAGCGATGGCCTCAGTATATGTCAAACTAATGGTGTGTTTCATGTGTTTCAGTACGACTTGTCTGCCTCTCAGTTCTCACCGGACGGACGGGTATTTCAAGTGGAATACGCGCACAAAGCCGTCGACAACAGCGGGTATGGCCTCACGAGTGGACACTCACTCACTGACCACTCACTCACTGACCACTCACTCATGCGGTCATTGCTTGTGTCATATGTATAGCACTGTCATCGCGTTGAGGGGAAAGGATGGCATAGTATTGGCGGCCGAGAAGTTGGTCGCATCCAAGCTGTAC